TGCATCTGAGCCCTTTTTGGGTTTGTGGGATGTGCATGCCTTTTTAAAAATTTGCAATCATATATTTTGTCATTTTGCACGAAGAGTAGCATAATATTTGATGGAACATTAAAGACAACTGAAGTTTAGATGTTGCTAAAGAATAAATCACAATAATGGGAATTTGTTAATACTAACCTGTCCTTCTCAATGCCGACGTCTGTGCTCACACTTACTGTCAAAATACAAATACATTTTTTTTCTAACAGCAGAACTTTTATAGTATCGATTATGGATTGATTATTCGGTATTCGAAAAGAGTATTAAATAAGTTTTACCACCTCCTATTACGTTGAGATGAACAGGATTCAGTGCCTCTCCAGCAGAGCAGAAGTACCAGCCAGAATCAGTCAGTCTCAGTCCAGACATCAGCACAGTGAAGGATCTTCCCCCATCATCATCATCACTGATCTGGACTGATGAATTCTGGGATGTGTCAGTCCTCCCCACTGTGTAACAGCTCTGATCTTTATATCTGCACCACCGTTTGACTTCATTCTGATATCCAGAACTGTAGAGACACTGAACACTGATATCACCACCTTCATGTCCAGATACACTGCTGCTCACCACAGACACATCAGGAGCTGAACACACACACACACACAAATCATTTATTTGTGATTATAAAATACATATTTGTATTAGAATTTGATTAAAACAATTGCAAAATGTTTTACCAGATTGAATCTTGAGCTGCTTCTCATATATGACATTTATCGGTGGTTGTTCTCCGGTCTCCACAACACAATAATAATGTCCAGTGTGTTTGTCCTGCAGGTTTCTCATAGTCACAGTAAAGAGACTCTGATCAGGATGATCAATTACTGACAGATTCTCCTCTGTTTTATTTGTGTATGTTTTAGATTTATCAATCTCTGAGAACCAGTATTTCTTCTGCTGTGTGTATTTCTTGTCATAATGACATGGGATGGTGACAGATCCTCCAGTCTGAACAGTTAATACATGTTTTGACCAACCGCTGTAGCTTACAACACCTAAACAAACAACACACAAAATGTTATGTCCAACAATAAGTCACTTCACATGAAACATAAAATCTTCAGATAAAACTAATTAAAGCATGAACAGCTGAGCATAAAATCCATCATTGCAAAATTCTAAACAGGATCTATTAGAAATGAACACAGCAATACATGTACTGTACTCTCACCTAAAATGAGCCAAAACCAGATTGAAATGTAGAATGTGTTTGTGTTCGCATATGCGGTCATTGTGTTTCTCTTCCTGTATCTTGAGTTGTTCTGTTCTTGAGTATCTTGACTTCCCTCTTCCGATAATACTATTCAACCGGATAAAAGCTGTCACTGGGGCAGGACCTTTTAAGTTTATATATAGCATTTAGAAACTTTTATGGACACTTTAGGTACTAATACCTTCAAGGTACTAATATGCATTCTTCAGGAGTATAAATAGGTACCTTTTGAAAGGATAGCCTATTGTCCCAGTAACTTTTCCCCTTTTTTCTGAATGTGGTAACGTATTAATTTGCATCTCTTTTGGATATAAAAATATATTTTACCAAACTTATACTTTTCTTCTGTTATCTTAAGTTGTTATATCTCTGAATTTAAATTAATAAAGTTTTCCATCTGTATGTTGTTGGCTAACACGAAAGTTTTGCCTTGGTTACGGTTAGTTGAACAGGAACCTGCAGATCTCCTACAGAGCAGAAGTACCAGCCAGAATCAGTCAGTCTCAGTCCAGTCGTCAGCACAGTGAAGGATCTTCTCCCATCATCATCATCACTGATCTGGACTGATGAATTCTGGGATGTGTCAGTCCTCCCCACTGTGTAACAGCTCTGATCTTTATATCTGCACCACTGTATATATACAGTATATATTACATATTCAGCATTTTTCATCTGCTGTCACTTTTGCTGCATGCTTCTGAATTCAAACTAATATCTGTTCAGTAAGGACCACTTTCGTCAAAGTATATTTATTACAATTATATTGCATACAGTTAGTGTTGGCGGTATGGTTCTGCCTGTCCATGCAGCCATGCTTAGACAGAGCGGGGAGAGCAGCAAGTCAGACCTCCCTGGGGTACAGAACAGGTCCAGTCTATGCCTACATAATTACAATTCACAATTTACAATTAAACATGAGAGAAAATACAAATACTTGGTAGAGAATACTTGCAATGTAGTGAACTGTATGGAAAGAAACAAAAGTCAGATTAGACTACAGTTTCAGTTGGGTGCAGTTAGGGTTGGAGAAGGGAGTCTGATTTGCGAGCAGCGATGCGATAGGAGAGAAGCTGAAAGAATGGAAATAATTATCTGCTGTGATAAATGTCAAGACTGGATTGGTACACGTCAGGAACAGCTGACTATCAGATGATGCAAGCTTGACTGACGAAGTCTGCCTGAACTAACGCAATGCTTGATTTTGATCTGTACAGTATGTTGTTGGCTATATATATGCTAGTGGTTGAAACAGGTACTGAACGTTGTTTATGCCGCCCCCTCCTTCTCAGACTCGACCCTGAGAAATTAACCTTTTCGAAACTTTGAATCAACTGAACCAATTGCTTCCCAAAGTGCTTCAGTGTTTCGAAGCACCCGAAATGCTGGTGATGCCTGCTGGTCAAAACTGTAAATGCACCAAACACACATAAAAACACCTTTTACAAATCAGTTGCAAATGATTTAAAGAAAGTGTAATCTATTAAATGACAATGTTTTGCATGTTGTATGTAGGGCTTGGCTAAACAGTCCAACAAGAGACTATTAAAGGGATCATGAACGAACTGCCTTTTTTATTATTATATACTGTTCTCTGTGGTCCCCTTATAATGTTAGCAAGATTTTTACATCCAAAAACATCATAATTTAAGTATAAACGCCCACTGCTCTGATTGGCTAAGAGTTGTGTATGTTTGACAGCCTACATCCTTCATAGATGGATGCATAAATCCTCAGTACATATCAAACGATCTGTAAGAAGAGACAA